ATACTCCATTGCTACTTCATGTCATGTAATTCTGAATTCATGGCTTTCTTGTAATTCTCACTTTTTCTTTACAATACGGTATATGCAGAAGTATGCAGAAGGACTTTTAATTTTTCAGTAACCTGGGTCAAATGCTTTCGATGAAAAGTTTGCCTTTACAAAATCGATGCTTTTAAGGTCTGTTTTCTATCTTCACTGCCTAAATGATATACACCAGGGGTGTCCAAACTCTTTCCTGGAGGGCTGGTGTCCTGCAGATTTTTTTCTATGATAACCTGCTGATCCTGATGGGCACGTGCAAGTAAACGGCTTTTTATTTTGCTTTACGCTTCAACAACTACATGAAGTCTATTTAACTGATTATATTTTGATTACATTACAACATCACGGCTATAAAAGGTACCGTACAAAGATGAAAAAGTCACATTAACCTTTCACCGGAAGTATATCGATATTTGAGGAAACACTAGCTCCGCTTATACCCTATACTGCTTCAAAACTCAATTCAGCCTTTTGTTTTACATTTCTGAATTTTAAATCTTATTCTAATACACACATTTATATATTTTTCAGTTTAATGCTTTCCTTTGATTCTTACATACTATGCTTTTACTATACAAACTATATTTCCTACAGGTTTTACTTTTATATTTCTCAAAATTCCAAGATAAAAACGTTTTATTAAAAATGGTTAAATATGTTTGCCACACCCCATTCCTAAAATATATGTAATCTGACAAATTAACTGAAAAAAAGGGAAGTGCATTTTCAGATTTCAATTAAAGATAAGAAGGGCAAACATTTTTATTTTCTTAATGACAATCACAGATGAATTGTTCACCACAAAACTAGCAATGTGAGCTAACAAAATCATATAGTTAGTTTGGATTTTATGGGGACTTTAATTTCTTGCAATTGTAAATTGCTTCCTTGTAATTAATTCTAACAATTATTTTCCTCTCACTGTTCTGCCTCATAACTTGAAACTATAATATAGAACCCACAGTGGTAAGACTATGAGATATAAACTCATAATTCTGAGTCAGATTGTTAGAAATTATGTTTTTATTTTTGGCAGAAGTCTAGCTTGTGTGGTAGCTTACAAATATACAAAGAAGCCCTTTCTGCGCCGTACCACAAGATGGCGCATTAAACAACATTATTAACCGAAAAATAGTCAAAGAAGAGGTTGATCAAAGAAAAGACTTTATGGCCAAAATAACAAAAACAACCTTACAATGTCTGAAAAACACCGAAACCTTCCTCAGTGGATGGTCAAGACAAACGATAAAGACGCTGAAAAGAAGAAAACGCATGAAACCACTAGAAGGACAGCGAAGAAGCGGCTCAAAAGGTAAAATCTTACAGAACAACAACTTATTAACGTAGTTATAATGTGAACATAATGTGCGTTTTTATAAATGTTTCTCCGTCGTCCTCAGTGTCGTCGCGTATTGGATGAATGAGAGGGAGCTGTTAGAAACGGCGCTCGATATTCTGAAGGATGAAACGGTAAATATTTTGATCCTTATTTATTTATTGGTGTGTTTTATCTGTTGTTTATGCCACGTGATACTTACCATTATTCTCATTTTTCTTGTAAACGTCAGAAAATGAGTAGAGACGCAGTCCAAGCCCCGGAGGAGGAGGAGGATGAGGTGAAGGTGATCCCGGAGACTGATGATGAAGACTCGACAGATTTACACCACAGCACTCGTGTTTCAAACATCGCCGAGCAAGAAACTGTGCCATATGAAAACTGTGTGGAAGAGAAAACCAATACAAAACCAGACTGCCATTTAAAGCCGAATTCTGATGTTTTAGAACCTCCAGAGATGCCTGACGAGGATGACGAGGCTCTTAAGCTTGTAAGAGAGATCTTTTTCACGTAATTCAAGCCCCGAGTACACAAAAGGTTTGTTATTGTACTTAAACGAATTTAATCATCTGTTGAAGAGACATTTACTTATTTATTTATCTATCCTAGTGTTGTTGCAAACAGGGTATTGCTAGCTTTCTTCTGTGGAGCACAATAGGAGATGCTTTGAAGAATGTTCTAGTCGCTCTTTTTCAGTTCAAGATTGGAGTCTAGACTTAGAATCTTTAAAATGCACCACAGAATTGGTCTTAATAAACCTTATTAATATTTTATTTTCGAAACAATTTTTTTGAGGGAATATTCTCCCCTTGTGTTCCTCAGAAAAAAAGAAAGCGTTTAGGTTTGGAACAATGTAAGTAATTGATTACTTTTTTTTTTTGTAAAAAGAGTTTACATCTTGAATTTTAATAAAAATAACTGCTTTTACTCAGGAAATGTAAATCTTGTTTGGATCTGCGTGGACTTGTTTGTTTAGGCAACAACCAATAGATCCAAGGTAATGTCTAATTTGACTTTTATACCATCTGCTCTGATAATTGTAAATTGCACACTTGGGTCTTTGTTCCTGTGGGTAAGAATGCAACTTTAAAAACATGAGAACGTTCGATTCCACGCAATAATCAATTGTGTATTTAATCATTTTTTATTTTAAAAGCTAACCTTCAGTGTCTTGAGGCATAAACAGATGTCGCAGGCGTGCAGGTGCATATTTTTATTTGCACTCTCATAAAACAAACAAGACATCCCAAACCTGGGGAAATGTCATATTAAAATGCACAAATAAACAAACTATGTGAGTGTAATTTGTCACCAAATTTATATATATAAAGGGTCTGGTGAATTCTCTTCTGATTGAATTATTACTTGGACCTTAAAGGGTTACTTCACCCAAAACATAAAATTATCATTATTTACTCGCCCTCCTGTCTTTCCAATCCCCTAAGACCTTCTTTCATCTTCAGAACACAAGATATTTTAGGTGAAATCTGAGAGCTCCATCGACAGCAATGGTCCTTGACTAGTTCAATGTTAAGAAAGGTGATATAAAACATGCCTAGATGGCCATCCATGCATGCACAAAGCATAGGCACATGTGAGGTAATACTCTGAGGCGTGGCCAAGTGACTCAAGAAGACGAGCCCTATACTGACACTGAGTAGAAGAAACCGTTGAATAAAGTAGTGGATTTTTTTATGTATGTGCACAAAAGTATTTGTGTAGCTTGATAATATTCTGGTTAAACCACTGAAGGCATATCCGCTTTAGTCGTGATGTACGGAATACTGTTTTCGAGTCCAAGCCGCTGCTAGTTTGACTTGAGAAAATATTCATTTATGACCACTTTTTAGTCATATCACACATTAAAATGATTTTATTATAAAATCATGGTAGACACAACAGTCTGTACACTTGCTGCACCACAGACGGCATTACTTTAACAATTTATAAAGAAAATCATTACTTTCTAGCCATCTGATATTAGGCATGGTTATATTCAGTTGAAGTCAGAAATATTAGCCCCCCCCCCCCCCCCCCCCTTATCTTTGCCGTGATGAGTAAATATTTTACTAGATATTTTTCCAAGACACTTCTATACAGCTTACAGTGACATTTAAAAGCTTAACTAGGTTAACTAGGCAGATCAGAGTAATTAGTTAAGTTATTGTATAACAGTGGTTTGTTCTGTAGACAGTCGAGAAAAAAAATTTGCTTGAGGGGGCTAATAATGTTATCCTTAAAATGGTGTTTAAAAAATTAATAACTGCTTTTATTCTCGCTGAAATAAAACAAATAAGACTTTCTCCAGAAGAAATAATATTATCAGACATATTGTGAAAATTTCCTTGCTACGTTAAACATAATTTGGGAAATATAAAAAAAATAATAATAATAATTCAAATGGGGGGGGCTAATAATTCTGACTTATAGAATACTTATATATATATATATATATATATATATATATATATATATATATATATATATGTGTGTGTATGTATATTTTGCGGTCGTGATCTTCGAAAGTATTACATTGCTTTGTAAATGTTTATTTTTACCATTTGATGAGCCTCTCCATACAGTTTGATATGGCACTTGGACCCAGAAGCTGTTTAACTGAACAAGCAGATAGTCTGTTTCTTCTTCTGGAAACTTGCTGTTTACAAAGGATGAAGGAGCTCTTAGATTTCACCTAAAATATGTTCCTAAGATGAACGAAGCTCTCTGGTGTTTGGAAGATATGAGGGTGAGTAATTAATAACAGAATTTTCATTTTTGGGTGAACTAACACCAACAAGTTTTAGGAAAAAAAGAAATGCTTTGGCACAAGAAAACACGCATTAGTGTGATTACAGTTATACAAAAATAATGTAGGAAATAGTTTAAATCAAAATGTTCAATATGCTTCCAATGAATTAGTTTACACTGTTAACTGTCATAAAACCAAATACAGTCATGATTTCCTAAAATGTAGATGCATCCTTCCTGAGGTGGAGATCTAAATTCTAGTTGTGGACAATCAAAGCCAAATGTCCCAACCAGAAGCTAATACTGTCCTGGCAGGTTGTCTCTAAGGTATTCCTGATGTTTCTTCAGAAGTATCCAATTCATATATATATGCCTAATAGTTTTAAAAGGAAGTTCAATGCAATTTATCAATGTTTTGTTTGCCTTAAATTTGTGTGAGTTACATGTGTCATGTTGTCACTGTCATGTGACCTATGCGTTAGTCACATTGCTTTACTACCATTCACAATGGTCTCATAGAGTGATAAAGTGAACACCCTTCACAATTTCAGTATTAAGTATAGAAGTAAACAGTTTTTTTGTCTGGGCATTTCCGGGGCCTGTACCATAAAGCCAGATTAGCTGGCAAGCTAACTAACTAGGTTTAATTTGCACCAATTCTGGGTTTTAGGTACCATGAAGACAGCGCAAGTTAGTTCAGCTGTTCAATAACTGTCATTGTTACCTGAAGTAAAGCCCACAATTGTTGCTAACTTAACTGGCTAGCTAGCTTATCCAGCTTTATGGTAATAAAGGATGTTTTAATGAGTAAAATAACTAACATAAAAGTAAAAAAAACACCAAAAAGCCTTTGTGGGAATGTGCAGACTGCTGCTTTGTGGATTTATGCTTGTTTAACAGTTGTTTGTCAGTGCAGAGTTTTTTTTTTTTACAGTACTAACAAATGACAGATTTCGTCAACATTATCTTTTAACTTATTTAGAGGGACTTACAACTGTTATTGTGATTGAAAAGTAAGTGAAATGAGCTTTCAATGTGTTCTGGAGGAGAGTCCGGTTACTGTTCGGTGTTCTCTGAGAGGAGTGGTGTCAGGCTGTTAATTTGGCCATCAAAATCACTCATCTGAAGACAAAAGACAATAAGGTTTCGATTCCAGTGTTTTGTAATTCACAAATTAATAAAAAGAAAAAGGGCAGCAAATAGTTTCTTACACTTTTCGGCTTGTAAACTCCCAGTTTAAATCGACAACAAACCACATCTACGCAGAAACCAACCAGGTTATGTAGCATGCCTGAAGAAACAGATCACAGTCAACCAGTCATTTCAAATAAGATACTTTGGTTAGCATGATTCTCTCTCTCTACTAATAGAAAAGCTTAATTTCAAACTTTTGTCACAATTCAGTGCATGTGTGTGTATATGTGTGTGTATATATATATATATATATATATATATATATATATATATATATATATATATATATATATATATATATATATATATATATATATGACCAGGTAAAATAGCTTGCGTTGCAGTACACTATGTTCAACAAATATTGCAGGAACCAACAAAAGTGCAACAACTTAAATCATACGATAAACACAAAACTGGATCTCTTTCACACTTGCTCCATTGGGCTACCAAGCTGACCAGTCACAGAGCTTGTGATACGCATGGGGATGTGTAGTAACATTTTTTGAGAGGTGTGCATCAGCCAAGGCAAGGAATGTGCGGCCGTGCGAAGGCTACGCCAAACCATCCATGAGCAAGGAAATCCTAAAGTTCAAGTCTCAAGTAAATTTTTGTGATATTAATAATACTAATAATCCCTTACAACTATATAGCGCTTTTCTGGGCACTTAAAGCACTTTACACATAGGGGGGGGATCTCCTCATCCACCACCAGTGTGCCGCATCCACCTGGATGACTCGACGGCAGCCAATTTGCGCCAGACAGCACACCAGCTGATTGGTAAAGAGTAGACAGAGTGATGGAGGAAATTATGATATGGGGAGGGTTAGGAGACCATGATAGACAGTGGCCAGTGGGCAGATTTGGCCAGGATGCCGGGGTTAAAACCCAACTCTTTTTTTTGGAAAGACCTCCTGGGATTTTTTTAATGACCACAGAGACTAAGAACCTCGGTTTAACGTCTCACTCGAAAGACGGCGCTCACTGAGCAGTATAAAGTCCCCGAAACTATACTGGGGCATTAGGACCCACACAGACTGCAGGTTGGGCGCCCACTGCTGGCCTCACTAATGCCACTTCCAGCAGCAACCCAGTTTTCCCATGTGATTTTCCCATCCAGGTACTGACCGGGCACAGCCCTGCTTAGCTTTCATGTTAGAGTTGCCAGCGTGAGACTCGAGCAAGTCAAGTCGGGTCTTTTTGAAAATTTGTCATGCAAGTCTTAAGTCAGAATTGTGCGGCAATGTCTGATTTGAGTCAAATCATGCGATTTGTACCACAAGCAAGTATAAGTGCTGTAAACCTGTCGGTCTTCTACCACTGATATAATTTTAAAGATTATTTTAAGGTCAAAACTTACTTAGTGCTGCTTTAAAATCTTCCATTGTTTTGTTTTTTGTTTGTTAATTAGTTGTTTTTTCTGCTAAGTAATCTCATTTTTTCCCCTAAAGATTTATGTCTTTTCAGTTCAGGCTATCTGTTTACAAACTTTATCCACAATCGTAATTTTAGTTATAAAATTATATATAACTAGTTATATAGCTCCTTTCAAACTTTTTTCAGGTCTACAACAGTTTACATCTTAAAATTCAGTTGTTGTTTTTTGTTTCAGAACAGAATGACGGTTGTTGCAAACTTTTCCTAACATTTACCTTTTTTTAATACAAAAACTTCTATACTCCATTTACCTGTTGTAGAGAAAATGCCTCCAATGATGCCACAGAGACGCACAAGGAACTGCCAGAAGGGCATGTGCTGCTCAGTCACCTTCACCATCAGAGAGCTGATGTCATACTTCATAAAGATCCCAGAAACCCCATGACTCCCCGCTGCATGGTTTATCACTCGCTCCTGCAGAAAACAAGCCAAATATGGCATCATCCTTGGGCAATCATGCGTACATGACACACTTGCACATTTAAAAAAAAATTGCATAGTAAAATGTAGCAAATTGTAAAAAGTTTGAAGCAAAACATTAAACCACAGATGGTTATGAATATATATGTACCCGCTCAGTGACTGAATACTGGTGCGTGTCTGCGTACACCTTGTACGTCTGCAGTTTTGTGGGCACAATGGTAATAAAGTACTGGAACATTTGATTATCTAGTTAAAGGGAAAGAAAAAAAAATTTAATCAAAAAATGTAACTTTTCACTTCAACATTCTTGCTGTTAATATAATATTTGCAAGTAAAAAATAACTCAAACCACATTTAAAAATAATTGTGTAAACAATATATCAAACAAGTGATATAAAAGAATTTAACTTCAAAACAATTGCATACACTACCTGACAAGTCTCGTCGCCTATCAAAGAAACAAGAAATAGTAACTTAATTTCTAGTTGATTGTTTGGTATGAGACAAGGCTTATATACAAAGGAAAAGGCCTCTAGATTACACTTATTTTACCAAATTAAAATATGATCATGCCTTGATGTTTAATCATTTAATTAAGACAGTAAGGTCTGACTTTGCTTAGACAGAAGTCTTTTCACTTAACAGAAATAATGTACAGTACAAAATATAAAGTCATGGTGCAGTGGAAAAAGATTTCATTTTGTGTGTTACTCCCATAAGCTTGGAGGACTGCATCCCTACATCTCTGCAATGACTCAAATAACTAAATAAAATCATCTGGAATGACAAAGAAAGCATTTCAGGACTCCAAGAGTTCATCAAGATTCTTTGTATTCATCTTCAATGCCTCCTCCTTCATCTTACCCCAGACATGCTCTAATTGCTCATATCTGGTGACTAGGTTGGCCAATCCTGGAGCAAGGAACTTTGATTTGGAGGCTGAAGTATAAGAAGGAGCGCTACCCTGCTGAAGAATTTGCCCTCAGTCTCCTGTAATTGTAATGTAATGGGTAGCACAAATGTCTTAATAGCTCAGGCTGTTGATGTTTCCATCACCTCTGCAGATCTATCGCACACCCCCATACTGAATGTAACCCCAAACCATGATTTTTCCTTCACCAAACTTGACTGATTTCTTTAACAATCTTGGCCCCATGCAGCTTCCAATAGGTCTTCTGCAGTATTTGTGATGATTGGGATGCAGTTCAACAGATGATTCATTGGAAAAATCTACCTTCTGCCACTTTTCCAAATGATCAACTAGAAGTCAAGTTATTATTTGTTGCTCTTACAACTGGAATCGACGACAAGACTTTTGTCAGGTAATGTATAATTTTTTTTTATTACATAGAATTTTACCTTTTTAATTCTTGGTATATGCTTAAAACACTAGTATAATTCAATTATCTTAAATCATATGAAAATTCTCAGACGTTTTATTCTAAAAAATATAACATATATAATATATATGTTGAATTTTTGGTTACATGTTACTTATGCTTGCATATATAAACTATATTAAAAGTAAACATGATTTTGTGATGATAAAGTTTGTAATTATACATGTTATTCAATTAGAAAAAATAATTTTCGTACAAAATTGATCATCATCAACATAAGTTTTTATATGGATTATGTAATGTCTAAACTAATTTGTAATGAATCTCAGTGTTTAATAGTGTACATGTGCTGATGATAAAAATCACTTTTCCTTAAATATTAAAAACCTAAAAATACTCACGATCTGCAGACACTTTTTCTGTGCCATCCAGTGGATTTAAAATGCCTGGTATTTCTTCTCCAAAAGACAGATGATCTATCCGATGGGAAAAGTTATATGCTGAAACATAAAACAGTTTTTATTAGCAAAATTATGTTTTTGACATAAAACTTAAAACCATTTCAGTGAACCAGATGTTGCCCTCTGATCTGGATTCAAAAGTCATTCAGATAACATCTGTAGCACAAAATTAGACTTTTCTAAAACACTGCTATGAACAAGCAATAATGGAGTCTGAAGTAAAGACAGTTTTCGTCTTACTCTCATGGCTGACCAGCGCTGCTAGATGAGCATGCCCTCGAGGATGTGGGATAGCCCTAAAATCAATATTAGGAGATGCACATACATTAGACAATATTATTCAAAAATTCGACATAAACACGTTTTCACATTTAAAACAACATACATAAGCTGACGTAGGTTTAAAGCAGTCCTCATCCTACTAACAAAAAAAAATGGTAAAATATATATTCAGAAGTCTTAGATCTTCACAGTGATATCATTTGTAAATTAGGATTTAATTGCAAACAAGTGATTTAACGTAAGCGTCTCATGGCAGGACAGTAACTATTAAAGGGTTAAACACAAAAGATTCTCATAAACCTCCAGTGAAATTGAAAAACAAACTGGTGTTATGTAATATAAAACAAAATCAGGTCAAATAATTAAAATATTTTCTGGAAATGTTTGCTTTGGTCAATGGCGATGATGTAAAAGGCAGGTGTGGCTCTAAGGCTCTGCCCTCTTTGACATGAAAAACCTCAATGGTTCATTTCTTCAGGTTAAACACGAGTTAAAACAACATAACTATAATAGAAAATTAAGTTATGCTAGTAAGAGAAAGAGACAATGAAAACATTTTGTCATATTTAAAACTGTAAATCTGCTAGCTAAATTAATATAAATAAACATGACAGGATTTCACTTCAATATTATCGAGATAGAGTCTGCAAATTAGAGTCTGCCCCACTAGACGTGGATATAACTGAGGGCGCGGGTGGTGAGGGTAGTGTCGCGGACGCCGCTCTCTCTATTATGCTGCCCCTAACGTGGATATAACTGAGGGTGAGAGTAGTTTCAGGGATGCCGCTCTTTCTATTCTGCCGCCCTAGATTCGGATATAACTGAGCTGCAGGTGGCGAGGGTAGTTTAGGGGACGCCGCCCTCTCTATTCTGCCACGCTAGACACGGATGAGGGCGCGGGTGGCGAGGGTAGTTTCGGGAACACTGCTCTCTCGATTCTGCCACCCTAGACGCGGATGAGGGCGCGGGTGGCGAGGGTAGTTTCGGGGACGCCGCCATCTCTATTCTGCTGCCCTAGGCGGCCGCCTAGGTCGCCTCTATGGACACGGCGGCCCTGCCCCAATATATGTCAAGGCCATAAAAGTCAGCTGTATTTAAAATCATACTCTATATTTTAGTTATAACTGTTTACAAAAATAATGAAATGTAACATACTTGCCAACGGTGATGTGGAAATTTCCTGCTACTTTATTGACATAGAGGTGTCCATGTATCCGACAAGCATTTAAAGGCTGATTTGGATCATCTTCCCTACACAGTAAACAGAAAAGAGGTCTCTATAAAAAAAAAAATCATCACCATACAAATCTTGACCATCGTGTTGTGTAAAAACCCTTTCACACTGAAGCCAATATACAAGGAAATGACCCTGTGAATAAAAGAAATAGATCTATATGAAGCTATTTACACCTGATGCAATCTTTTATGGCACAATAAAGCAAGTTTTATTTTTTATTAGAGTGTTGTTGGTTTTTTACTTAATGACCAGTGAAGAAACTAGCCGTACAATAAATGTTTAGAGCTTTAGATCCTCCTGCAGAGTTTGAGATTGCTGCTGTTACACCCCATTCATACAGGGCATCAGCATCAAAGCTTCCCATTCACTTTGAACGGGTGATGTCAGGCATTGCCAAACTGCATTGTGGATCCGTTGACGTCGCTTCAGTGGCATTGCCTGCTGCAGAAGTTGGGAAATTCTCAACTTTTCAAGCGCCAACAGAAGCAACAGCCAATCAGATCACTTCATGCAAATACCCAAGCACAGACAGTGGCAGATTGCAGAATAATTTCATTGGCTGACACTGCTATGACCATTGCGTCAGCCCAAACTTCAGACACGCCCTCGGTCAAGTGTTGAAACTAAAGCCTCGTGTGATTGCAGTTACTTTGAAGTTCCGAAGAAAAGTATTAAAGACAAGAAAATATAATGGGTTTTCTTGCAATCATTGTTGTAATTAAGAAGATATTTATTATTACATGTTTGCTTTATATATCATGGTAATAAATTACATTTTTGCACATTCGTTTGGCTTTTACAGCAGGTAGATACAGGAACTCAGTCAAAGGAACTTGTTTCCTCTAAAATAATTTCTTCCAGAACATTTTTTCTGGTTGCATTCACAGCAGCAGAAGGAATTCTGAGGTGTGGTAGGCTGACCAGCTGCAGCATCAAACTCAGCATTCAAGAAAAGAGCATGCTGTGACTAAAGCTGTGTTTTCAGTATGTGTGTTTAATATAGTGGTCATGAAAAAATGACCTATACGTTTAGTAAACAACCTCTAAAAAAGAGGACTTAATAACCTACAACAACTTTTAGAGCTACATATCAATAGCCTCGTTTCCATCTAAAGATGCTAATTAGACTTGCAAAACTGGAATATTGCAAAAAAAATAAAACATCCAATGTTTCCATCCAATAAGTCATACAAAACAAAAACTTATTGAGAAACCTGTGACAAATATCAAAAAGAAAAATGGAATTTGTCAACGTAGGCCTTTTTTCTTATAAAATAAATTACTTGTTTCTTAAAAGATGAAATGCTATGAACAGACTTTGACTTTTTGAGGCATGAAATTGCTCTCAGGAGTGCAGCTGCTCAAGACAGTTCTGGAAGGTAGTAATAATAAACCACTGTAATGATGGACCTAGTCTGAGGGATTTTAGAATGACCTAAACAACATTTCAGATGTGGTCTGTCTGTTGGTTTGTCATTAATGAAATCTTACCAATTACATGACTTTTTGATACACATGCTGGAAATTATTCAGTAAACGTGTTTGCAGTTGTGCGTATGATTTATGTGCATCTCGGTGTTTCCGTTAAACCTTTTGTTTGCAACATTCCAAAATGCACTTTAAAAAAGACGGACGAAACAGCATTTAGGGCGGTGAAAATAACACAAAACCACAGCAAAAAAACAACGGGGAAATGCAGCAAACATTAGATTCCTGTAGTGTATGTTTTTATGTATTGTAACACTTTAAAATATTGTGGCATGCATTTGCTAAATCAGAAAACATGTACGTCAATGTGGTTACTATTGTGCTAGGTCAGAAGTAGATGTTCTTGGACCTAACTTCATTCACAGTTACTGCTATAAATACACCAGAAACAGGTACTTCTGCCTGTAGTTCTAGGAACTGCGAGAAGTCATAGTGCCCATTTACTACTGAACAATATTAAGTTTTATAAACTAATTTCGAGAGGAGCATGTGATATGATTGATCGTGGCTGGTCTCTCATCTACAATCATTGATAAACAACCTATTTCATCTTGCTTGTCTTTGTTATCGAAGAAACCCCCATCCACCCCTTTTCCTTCTTTACCAGGGGGAGCTCTCTAGATCTACCTGATCTCGGACCCCCTTTTATGCTTAATGACCAGGCTGGAGCCCTGGGCTCAATTATCTCTGAGCTCCGGATTCTCTTCCAAGACTGCATCCCAAACCTGCAATTAGTATTAAGCAATAGCAAAGTTTCAACTCTTGAAAGTTTCAGGGGATTGGAATGACATGATGGTGAGTAATTAAAAAGGGTATTTCAAATTTTTTGGGTAAACTAACCATTTAACTCAAATGAAAAAAACCTACAAGATACATACACAAGAATACATGCATCCTTAGTCAGCTTTAGCTATTGTGTAAGAATGAACTTTCAGCCAAAGGTTATCAGCCGTTTCACATTTGTTGTTAATGCAGCATTCTTCTGTGTCTGGCTTTGCTTTCACTTCACATTCAATGTGAAAGTGCTTTAATACACACTCTTAGTTATCTGACCTTGGTGGGAGAGCAGTGGGGGAACCTTTCATGACATTCTTGAACAGAACATCTTGGAGTGAATGTTCCTCACGCAGACGGCCCTGAATGAGCAAAAGTGTCCTGACAAACAAACAAACAAAGTAGATTTTTAAAAATCTTTTAATAATTACAATATTATTATTTAAAGCTTTTCAAAAGCATTTTGATTGAAAAATACATATTACAATTGCTTCATGGGAGCTATATTTCCATCTACCACTGCACATTTATTTACGCAAACATACTGCATAAAATATGCATGGAGTATAGCTTTCATGCATTTTTAATGGCAATCTTTTAATGCATTTTAGAATTTCCAACCAGTGTTTATTTATGCAATATCCTAAAATCTGCATGGATGAAAACTAGTGTTACATGTGGAAGCTAGAAATTGTAAACACATATAAAATGAATGAAATGTAATTCACCTGTGCCAGAGCCGCTGCTGGGGAGAAAGGTCAAAAACAACCTGCAAAATATTCATAAAACATGTTATGGTGACTACTAAAATATTCTAGCAAAATAAGCAACATTCAGACACTCACAGGTTCATACACCAGGCCATCAGATGCCACCATTGTTTCAGCGAGATCCAAAACATCTGCTCCGACAACTGAAATCAAATTTATTTACAAAGGGTTTGACAAATTTATGCTAGCAACAAGTTAGCAACACATTAATGTAGGAAGATTCACTTACATTGGCACCTCATGGCAACTGTGATATCAATATTAATTCGGAGTTTGCTGCAACACGAATGAAGTAAAGTGTTTTATTGCACATCTTTCAACTATTTTATACAGATTGAAAATGATGAATGACTAATTTACCTAGTAAAATCCTTATCTACTTCATACTCGTACTTCATCCATGTGTCCCGATACACAAAGAATTCAAAGAAGGCCAAGAGCGCCATGGCTGTGAAGGCCAACAACGACACTGCGAAAGAGAAAAAAATAGATACATTTCATATCCTTAATGAGGGTTTATTTCTGTTTAACTAATGTAATATTTGAGAAAAGTCAGGAAAAAAAAGAAACAAATTAAAAGACATTAAAACAATATAAAATAAATGTATAGACATTATTTAGCTTTTTAATTGTAGGTATATTTATACACTTGAAGTCAGAATTATTAGCCCCTCGTTTATTTTTCCCCCAATTTCTGTTTAATGGAGAGAAGATTTCTTCAACAAATTTCTAAACATAATAGTTGATAACTTATTTATTTTATCTTTGCCATGATAACAGTAAACAATATTTTATATTTTTAAAGACACTTCTACAGCTTAAAGTGACATTTAAGGCTTAACTAGGTTAATTAGGTTAACTAGGCAGGATAGGGTAATGAGGCAATTGTATAATTGTATATTGTATAGCGATGGTTTGTTCAGTAGACTATTGAAAAAAAATACAGCTTCAAGGGGCTAATAATGACGTTAAAATTGGTTTAAAAAAATTAAAAACTGCTTTTATTCTTGCTGAAATAAAACAAATAAGACTTTTTCCAGAAGAAAAAAATTACAAAAAAATTAAATATACATGTATAAAATGTTGGCTAAGTTACTTAATAAAATGAATTAATTACCAAAACAATCAAATTGTGTTTAAATAATATTTTTAATTACTTTATCCGAGAAGAATTTTAATCGCTCAACGAGTAATTTAATTATTTGACTCAAAACTACTTATAATCCATAAGAACTTAAATACATAGGCAATTGAAATTAAACTTTTTTAATTCCATTAATTTAAGCCAAACAGGATCTTTTAGTTTTACTATAAAATGTAGTACTTGTATCAGAAGACAGAATGTTTAAAAAATAATGACATCATATTTCCTACACACCGTACTGACAGATTTCTAACTCAATTCATTGTTTCTTAAGCATGCCTAATTGCCTTGAATAATAAACTTTTTTAGTTAAAAAATAATATTCTGCTAAATTTATTTACAACATTTCAAATACTCTGCTTCTCATAATGTTTTATAAAAATAAATTGAATTTTTTTTACAGTAATTCACAGTATTTAAGGCAAGTTCATCATAAGTACGTGTAATTAACTAAAAGTTAATCCCCTGGTTTACTTTTTCTGCGGAAAAGAAATTGAATTAAAGTAACTAATTACACCCAACACTGCATTATATAACGTAATAGATCTTCGTCTCACCAGTTCCTCCGCTGGCTGTTGTCTCCACATAACTCTCAGGAACCTTTGGAAAAGCATCCAACTCTCTCACAAAGTTCAGGGCTTTCTTTTTGTTCAGCCTCCTCATCGTCACACCAGTTTACGCTTTTCTTCCTCATGAATTTAAACTGAAATTCACAATTAGCATCTGTTTAACAATTTATATATATCAAACTGATCTGTACAAGATACTAGTCTACAACGATATGTCAACCCTTTAAACACATAAGTTATGATAAAGTGCTGTTTTAACTTTAAACAGCTTCTGAGACAGATTTATTTCAACAGTTTGTCTGTGAATGCTCAGTTATATTTGCTTACTGTTAGCCACGGTTAGCCGTGCACTTGTCTGTCGTGCCGTTTTCTTCGTTTTTGACCTACCTTTAGACGCTATTTTAAGCGCTCCATTGTCTTTTCTTCAATTTTCAAACGATCAAGTTTTTTTTACATTGAGCATTTAATAAAATAACGGACAGAAACGCAGAAGACCGGAGAACAGAGTCGCTGATGTGTTGTGGTCGCGCTTCCGGTGCGACGGACTCTGGGAATTGTAGTCATTTGACTGAATAACTAAAAAATACGTCAGAACGTGGGTGCATTGCTATTTTTGTCACATATTTATGTTTTGAGTTGTAAGATAACAACTAAAATAATTTTAGAACTTTCAGAATTTCTAGCACAAATAAATCAAAATCCAATGCAAACAGAGAGTGTTACTTACATGTGTATAACCACCAGGGGCGTCACTAGACCCCATTTACTGCCCCAGTAAATGCATTAAGTTACAGTTTATAGGCTATTTAAGTAAGTGTTTTAATTAAGAGTGGTAATCCTAGAATAAAGACGCTTTTTCTATTCTAAAACAGATTGCACAATGAAGTTAGTTTCAAAAGAAATGTATTGAGATTACGATGCGGTGGCGCAGTGGGTAGCAATGTTGCCTCACAGCAAGAAGGTCGCTGGTTCAAGCCTCAGCTTGGTCAGTTGGAATTTCTGTGTGGAGTTTGCATGTTCTCCCCAAAGATATGCACTATAGTTGAATTGTGTAGGCTAAATTGTCCATACTGTATGTGTGTGAATGAGTGTGTATTGGTATTTTCCAGAGATGGGTTGCGGCTGGAAGGGCATCCGCTGCATAAAAAAAATATGCTGGACAAGTTGGCGGTTCATGTGGCGACCCCAGATTAATAAAGGAACTAAGCTGAAAAGAAAATGAATTAATTAATGTATTGAGATTAATTAAAAACGTGATATCTTTCTCTTTGGCAGATTGGCATGGAGCATGTGGAGAAACAGGAAAACACACGTCAGTAACAAGTACATCATAATAAAGTACAATGTAAAAGTTACATCATGTGTAAGCAAACGATTAACAAAATACAAAGTTACTGCATATGCTTTATTCCTACTGTTCTGAATGAGAATTATTTGTGCATTGTAAATCCTGAATAAGGGTCATTATCACTATAAAGTGTCTTTGATGTCCCACAAGATTAAATCATTCCTATATGAACATAATGCCAATGATGAAATTCTGATGTTTGAATATAATTGGTTAAACCTTTACAAAACATGCAAGAATAATAATAAGTGTTTTTAAATATGTTTTTGTCCATTTTTGCCATATTCTTTCACTGAATGAATGTGATTTTGCCATGTCCCACACACTGCTCAGCCAACTTCAGTCAGTCTGATAAAGTAGGTAAATTAGATTAATTTAAAAAGATTTTTAAATATTCTTATTGTCTTTGTTATTTGGTAAAATAAGTATTTTTAATTACTTTTATTTTGTTTCCGCCACAGTCCAAAGACATGCGGTACAGTTGATTTGGGTAGGCTAAATTGTCCGTAATGTATGTGTGTAAGTGAGTGTGTATGGATGTTTCCCAGAGATGGGTTGCGACTGGAAGGGCATCCGCTGCATAAAACATATGCTGGATAAGTTGGCGGTTCATTCCTCTGTGGCGACCCCGGATTGATAGGGGGACTAAGCCAAAAAAAAAATGAATGAATGAATAAATCTTTCCATGACAGGGTTGACACAATTTAAAGTTTGTTTACTGATTTTCTGCTTGCAGATTATTTGTAAAAAGTGCAGGAGCTTGACCAAGTTGGACCAACATTCATTTCTTACAGCCTAAGGTCTAATAAATACAACTATGTGGGTATCTTCAAAAATCTCAAACATTTTTTGAAGACTTTGATGTCTCAAAGGCACTTTATTGTGATAATGACTCATAAATAACCATTAAGGGCTGTTATATTCTTAACAGAAAATTACAAATGAACAGTCATTCAGAACAAAAAAAAAATCAATTTCAAGATACAAAAAAATGAAACGGGACAACTTCCTGAAATGGAAAGTAAATCTTTGAAATCTTACCTAATAATAAAATGGATGTGCAGTTATGCTGAATACTAAGTGTCAAAACATGTTTTGTACATACAATATATTTGACAAAACAACAGCAATAGCCTATTATTATACTATTATTATATTATTATACATTCTAAAAAATAATGTGTTCGAAAAACGTCCGATAACGAACAGAAACTGCAGTGTCTGAACATCACTGGACATTAGCGGTATGTAAAGATCCTTCTAAAATTATAATTTTAGGTTATATATGGTTGTTACTTGCTTAATATTTTAGTATTTCTCTCTCCTTCAAATCGTTTCAGATTTTCATATTTTTTCCACGTCTACACTGTTGATTGTAACGTTACTGAATGTTGGTTGGAATTGGAGAGTTTGCCATGTTGTCGACTTGTCAATTTTAGGATTTTAAATATATACTATATTCTATATAACTATATTCTAATTTGTGTATTGTTATCTTTATCTATTTATAATCGTAGAATGACATTTGTTATGTTGTCAGATTGGTAGACCAACAGATACAATATTTGTGTTTGTATGCTTCATTTGTAAATTGCTATCTTATTTAACATTTGCAGATTGTTATTTGTTATATCATCAGATAAATTGATCTGTTATTATGTATTTGTATGCTGTCAGCTTTAACACATATCGCATATTACTGTATATCTATTGTCAGATGGATTTATGTTGTCGGCCTGTTCAACATTTATAGCTTTTTATTGTTATTTCTTCTATTTAAAGTTTTACTATTTATTGTAACACATTTATATATTATAAGTTTATAGATTTTCATCTTGTAGACTATTTACTTAAAGCTGCGAAATATTATTTGTCAGTGTTATAACAGAACCAGACTGGAGACAATGGTGGATGAAATTTCCAAAGAATGGTATTAAGATTAATTAATGACTTGATAAAAAAATATATATATATCCAAAATGAAGTGGGTGGTGGTTGGTATAGATAGTTAAACAGATCTAGCCTGTGTCAGGTTTTTCTTTTTCAGGTAATGAAGATGGAGCAGGCAGAAGAGGAACAGAGCAGGTAGAGCTCTCTTGGTGCTGCCTTTGTTTTATGCAGGTTGGAGTGGACCAGAAGAAGGAGAATCAGAAGGGTAACAGCGGAGATATACTTGAAGACCTGGAGCTCAGCGAACAGGTAGAACTGCCTGAACAGACTGAACAACAGAGCTAGCTTCCAAACAAATATAATAAGTTTAATTAAAGACTTGATATCTTTCTCTTCGGCAGATTGGCATGGAGCAACAGGGAAACACTTAATGAGAAGTACATCATAATAAATTAGGTACTGCCTTACATTTTTTAGTTAGGCTAAATCAAACATACTTTATAAAACTTTTAAACTTATATATTTTAATTGTGAAGAATGCTGGCCGGGTGTTTCCTTCAGATAGACAGAGATAGATATAATATTTGTGTTTGTTTGTATGCTTCATTTGTATGTTCCTATCTTGTTTACCATTTGCAGATTTTTATTTGTTATATCAACAGATAAATTGAATTGTTATAATGTATTTGTATGCTGTCAGTTTTAACACATATTGCATATTACTGTATTAGTCTATTGTCAGATGGATTTATGCTGTCAGCCTGTTCAACTTTTATGACTTTTTATTGTTATTTGTTCTATTTAAAGTTTCACTATTTATTGTAACATATTTATATATTCTAAGTTTATAGATTTTCATCTTGGAGAGTATTCATGTCATATATTTATAGCTGCAAAATATTATTTGTTAGTGTTAGAACAGAAGCAGATTGAAGACAATGGTAGATGACGCTTCCAAAGAATAGCATTATGATGACTTGATATCTTTCTATTGTATTTTGCAGATTGGAATGGACCACAAGGAGGAAAAAAGGGAACACACCAAAGCAATGACTGAAAAATTGATGGTCAGGAATTTCTTTTAAAACAATCCTTTAAAGATGAAGTGGGTGGTGGTTGGTATATATAGTTAAACATGTCTTGCCTGTGTCAGGTTTTTCTTTTTCAGGTAATGAAGAGAGAGCAGGCAGAAGAGGAAGACTCACCACCATAGCATCAATGGACATTTATCTAAAACAGAGGAAATAGAGCTCTGTTGGTGTTTTTTTTTTTGTCTTTTGGAGGTTGGAGTGGAGCAGAAGAAGGAGACTCAGAAGGGGAACGGCAGAGATTTAATTAGAAGACCTGGAGCTTAGTAAACAGGTAGAACTATGTAAACAGACTGAACAATAGAGTAGGTTTCCAAAGAAATGTATCGAGATTAATTAAAGACTTGATATCTTTCTTTTTTGCAGATTGGCACTGAGCATGTGGAGAAACAGGTAGAAACATTGTTCTGACAAGTACAATGTAATTTAAAATGATTAATCATAGTTGGGTATTTCCTGCAGATAGATAAATAGATAGATAGATAGATAGATAGATGGATGGATGGATGGATGGATGGATGGATGGATGGATGGATGGATGGATGGATGGATGGATGGATGGATGGATGGATGGATGGATGGATGGATGGATGGATGGATGGATGGATGGATGGATAGATAGGCAGGCAGGCAGGCAGACAGACAGACAGACAGACAGACAGACAGACAGACAGACAGATAGATAGATAGATAGATGATAGATAGTGATGAACAGGTTCTATTGATGTTGTCTTTGTCTTTTACAGAGTGGAGTGGTGCAACTAGGCAATCACACATCTCAGGAATGATAAAAAAAGATGGTCAGGTATTACCTATTGATAACAGATGTCCTTCCAAGTGGAGGTGGAGGGTGGGCTTAACTAGTTAGATAGATGTCTGTCACAAGTGTTTTTTTTTCAAGTAATGGACACACAACAGGCAGAAGGAAATTCATAAGAGCATTGGTGGAGAATTATCTGAAAAACACTGGAGAACAGCTTCTGCATGGCTGGAGCTCATCAAGCATGTAGAGCTCTGTTAGTTTTGTCTTTGTCTTTTACAGACTAGACTACAGTGCAGCATGTGGAGAAAAATAGAAATCACAAACCTCAGCAATGACTGGAAACGGATGATCGGGAATATCCTTCAAAAGGCAGAAAGTGCATAGATGGATGTCCTTCCAAGACGTAGGGGGTGGTGGTGGGCT